AGAGTGGTGGTTGCCAGAGTTGAAGGTGGGGAATGGGGAAAATGGGTAAAGGAGGTCAAAGGTTTAAAAAAAAGCGAGTATTACATCTTGGTAAATTTATAAATCTACCAAATCAGATCTGGAAACTGAATTTAATGGTTTAAGGAAGAACTAGGTTTTAAAATTTGCTACATTGGGCGCCTGGGTGGCTCAGTCGGTTAAGCGACTGCCTTCGGCTCAGGTCATGATCCTGGAGTCCTGGGATCGAGTCCCACATCGGGCTCCCTGTGCAGCGGGGGGTCTGCTTCTCCCTCTGACCCTCTCCCCTCTTGTGCTCTCTGTCTCTCATTCTCTCTCTCAAATAAATAAATAAAATCTTTAAAAAAAAAAAAATAAAATTTGCCACATTAATAGGTCAAATATTAATTAAAGAACAAACAGAATGGGGTGCCTGGTTGATTCAGTTGGTAGAGCATGCAACTCTTGATCTTGGGTCCATGAGTTCAGGCCCCACACTGGGCATAGAGCTTACTTAAAAAACAAAACCAAAAAACCCAGAATGGTTTCCAAGTAATCTTTCTTTGGGCACAAAAATCACCCTCAGTCATAATATACCAACACTGATAATTTGATGAAAATTGGGATGTTTTATTGAGAAATTCCTGCATGACAGCAGGTGTGGGCTATTTCTCTGTGCTGTCCAATTTTTCAGGGAAAATGCTCCAAGCTCTTGCCTGTGCAGGAGTACCCTGCAGCAGGGCGGGCTTCAAAGGTGCACACTTGTGCAGTCATGCAGGGCCCTGCACTCACAGGACCTCATATTTGTTTTACTGCCCTGCTGTCACTGTCTTGAAATTCTTAATCCTTTTTTTTAGACAGAGGCCCCACATTTTCATTTTGCACTGGGCCCTGCAAATTACGTAGCTGCTCCTGCTTGGCAGTCAGAGTTCTGGCAGCCACACAGGGAAGAGGGCTGGAGTCCTGAGGTTTAGTGTGTAGCTTTTCCCTGAGCCCTGTGTTTTCCGAGTTGCTTCACTTCCATCTCAGTTGGGCCTGTTGTCTGCCAGTCCATGGCCTCTCTAGTCTAACTTCAGAAGATCCCCTTTCCTGCCAGGGTTGGGAAAGGGACTGTCAGAGGGCCATATGGGTTAGAGGAGGATATGGGAGACAGTTGGTCTAATCTTTCTACTTTTGCCTAGTTCTGTGGTAGGACTCAGCTTGCTCTTTGAGGCTTTCTCTCCTGCACCCACTTGCAGAGTGGAAAAAGAACAAAATTAGTTACCAGTTAGTCTATCCCCCAATTTTGTCAACACTCAAGTCTGCCATATCACCTCTCTCTTTTTTTGCCCATGTGGGTTCATGCCTTTGTCCTTTTACTTTCATATTAGTGAGGTTTTGGAAGACAGGAAACAAATGCCAAGTGTTCAATCTGCCATGTACGGCCACTAGTCTGCATTCAGTTTCCATAGAAACAACTATTTTTCCCTTTATCACTCAATTTTTGTTGGCTTATATAATAATTAAATTATGTAATTACAGTTACAACTGGAATAAATAAGTTTAAGAACAAACCCAGTTGACTACACTTAGAATTATGTGGGCATCAGTTAATTTATTTTACAGAGGAATGAAAATTGTGGTTAAGTTGGGCAAGTTGGATTAAATGGAAATTAGTTAACTGAGCTTTTATTTTAAATAAATGAATGTAAGACATCCATTTAAGAAGGCTCATTATTGAAAGTCTAAACAATTTGGCTTCTTGGACAACCAGTGTGAAAAAGCTTATGTCTTTAAAACTGCTGGAGCGAGCAAATGCCTCTCTAAGACCAGGCTCTTTTCTGCACTTTATGAGTATTATGAATGTGTTCAGACCAACTTCCTGGACTCTGGACCTTGGTCTGTCCTAATTCCTACCTATTCCATCCCACCTCTGTCTTGATCTCCTAGTTGGATTTTTGACCTGCTTTGACCTAAATGACCTTGGTTGGCATCTGTGAGTTGATAACTTACATTCCCTTTAAGGATCCCCTTCATAAGTACCTGGTTCCTCCAGTGTCTAACCTTTTAGGGATTCTTCAGGGCAAAGCTGACCTGCCTCCTATTGCTTCCCTTCTCTACAGGAAGTCAGGTTTCAGCTTCTGTGCTGTAAGTCAGTTACCCATTCATTTCTTTACTTTCTGTCTTCCAAAAGTCTGGTATTTTTCATCTGTCTTCTCCCATATTTGTCTTTGAAGGGCTTACGGCTTTAAAAAAATTATTCCTTTACTCTCAGTTTAGCATGGGTTCCAAAGAGAGGACAGTGACTGCTTATTTTCAGTAGGTCCTGTTTAGCCTCCACTCCTGCCATGGTGGTTTCCCATTTTCTAAGCCCTTGGTATTCTGCTTCTCCAGAAAATAGGACCCTTCCTTTTGAGCTTTCCAGACAATTTTAAAAAAAGATACCTACCCAGCTACTTCCTGGGACTGCCTAGCAGAGCACTCTTTGTTCTGTGGTTAATATGTAGTCAGGAACAAGTCAATGTGAATTAGCTTTTGTAAATATTAGTTAAAAATTAGGGATTTATCCACCTCTTCTGAGTTGTCCAATTTGTTGGCATGTAGACTTTCATAATATTCTGTTATAACTGTTTGTGTTTCTGGTGTTGGTTGTTATTTCTCCTCTTTCATTAATAACTTGTTTATTTGGGTTCTATTTTATTATTATTATTTTTTAAATCCACTTTTTTTTTTTTAAGATTTTTATTTATTTGACAGAGAGAGACACAGTGAGAGAAGGAACACCAGCAGGGGGAGTGGGAGAGGGAGAAGCAGGCTTCCCACCAAGCAGGGAGCCCAATGCGGGGCTCGATCCCAGGACCCCAGGATCATGACCTGAGCGGAAGGCAGACGCTTAACGACTGAGCCACCCAGGCGCCCCCTCTCTTTTTTTAAATGAATCTTGCTAGATGTTTATCAATTTCATTGATCTTTTCAAAGAACCAGCTCCTGGTTTCATTGATCTGCTCTATTGTTTTTGTTTTTTTTTAGTTTTTATGTCATTTTTTTCTATGTTATTTATTTCTGCTCTAAGCTTTATTATTTCCTTTCTTCTGCTGGTTTTGGGTTTTGTTTGCTTCTTCTTTTTCTAGCTCCTTTAGGTGTAAAGTTAGGTTGTTTATTTGATATTTTTCTTCTTGAGGTAGGCCTGCGTTGCTACAAACTTTCCTCTTAGAACCACTTTTGCTGCATCCCAAAGATTTTGGACCCTTGTGTTTTCATGTAATTTTTTATTTCTTTTTTGATTTTTTGGTTGATTCATTCATTGTTTAATACCATGTTATTTAACCTCCATGTATTTGTGATCTTTATGGATTTTTTCTTGTGGTTGATTTCTAGTTTCATAGTGTTGTGGTCCGAAAAGATGCATGGAATGACTTCAACTTTTTTGATTTTGTTGAGACAAAATAAAAATTGTTTTGTGGCCTAATATGTGATCTATTCTGGAGAATGTTCTGTGTGCACTTGAAAAGAACGTGTATTCTGCTGTTTTAGGATGGAATGTTCTGAAGATGTCTGTTAAATCCATCTGGTCCAGTGTGTCATTCAAAGCCACTATTTTCTTGTTGATTTTCTGTTTGGATGATCTGTCCATCGATTTAAGTGGGGTGTTAAAGTCCCCCATTATTATATTAGTAATGACTATTTCTCTTATGTTTGTTATTAACTGTTTTGTGTATTTGGGTGCCCCTATCTTGGGTGCTTACATATTTACAAATATTATATCCTCTCATTGGATTGTCCCCTTTATTATTATGTAGTATCCGTCCTAGAAGGAAGCATTGGCGAGGATGTGGAGAGAAAGGAACCCTCCTGAACTGTTGGTGGGAATGCAAACTGGTGCAGCCACTGTGGAAAATAGTATGGAGGCTCCTCAAGGAATTAAAAATAGAACTACCCTGTGGTCCAGGAATTGCAGTACTGGGTATTTACCCCCAAAATACAAAAACACTAATTTAAAAGGATACATGCACCTCTGTGTATTGTAGCGTTATTTACAATGGCCAAACTATGGAAGCAGCCCAAGTGTCCATCGACAGATGAATGGATAAAGAAGATATTTTATACAAACACACACACACACACAATGGAATATTATTCAGCCATAAAAAGAATGAAATCTTGCCATTTGCAACAACATGGAGAGAGCTAGAGAGTATAATACTAAGTGAAATAAGTCAGAGAAAGACAAATACCATATGATGTCACTCATATGTAGAATTTAAGAAAAAAAAATGAGCAAAGGAAAAAAAAAAGAAACAAGACTCTTAACCATAGAGAACAAACTGAGGGGAAGTGGATGGGGGGATAAAGAACACAGGGGATAGAGATTAAAGAGTATACTTACCATGACAAAAAAAATCAAATGATAAAAAAAATCAAATGAGCTATTGTAGGAGTGCTCTATAAACTGGAAGGTACCACCAAAAATAAAAATTATTATTACATCAAAAAAAAAAGAAAGTGAAGTTAAGATTTTTTTGGTAATTATGAGTCTGTGTGTATATCCATAACATACTCCTCAATTAGTAAATCAGATTGTAGTTATTTTGCCACATGCTCCTCCCCGCAACTGTACGTGTGTATAGAGCTGTTGGTCTTCACAATGTTTTTTTCATAGGAGTTAATGTTAATTAAATGGCAAATAGATCAAAGATAAAAAACATTAGGGAACTCTTTGGGATAAAGGTATAGTGCAATTAAAGCCAAGCTAAGTCTGAGAAATTGCAAAATAGACTCATAAGGTCAGATGAGCTTTTCTCTTGTGACTATAACGAGGAGACTAGCAGTTGGGAGTTAAAACTTTCCCTTAGAACAAGTGGGCAGTTGTAGCATTTCCTAAACTCACAGCAATTATTTTTTGTACAATTGCATGGGCACTTTCAGATTCAAAGATCCTTTTCTGGGAGGTGGGTGAACTTAAATAGTTCTTTTCATCTTTTGTTAGTATATAACTTTTTTACATATGTATTTTGTTTCTGCAGGAGTATAATCACTTCCTTGAGAGTAGAGGATGTTTCCGACACATCTTAGCATCTTGTGCCAGAAGAATAGGGGCTTACCGTCAGGATCAGGTAATGTGCATGAGCTCATTTAATTAATTTATTTTTAAATTTTTTTCAGGGTGTCTGGGTGGCTCAGTCAGTTAAGCATCTGACTCTTGATTTCAGTTCAGGTCTTGACTCTTGACTTCAGCTCAGGTCTTGATCTCAGGGTCGGAGTTCAAGCCCTGCATTGGGCTCCACACCGGTCATGCAGCCTACTTTTAAAAAAATCATCTATTTTTAGTTTTGAGAGAGCGTGAGCACGTGTGCGCATGCGTGGGGGTGGGGCGAGGCAGAGAGAATCCTAAGCAGGCTCCAAGCCCAGCACCGAGCCGACAGGGAGTTTGATCTCATGACCCTGAGATCATGTCCTGAGCTGAAATAAAGAATCAGATGCTTAGGAGCACCTGGGTGGCTCAGTCGGTTAAGCGTCTGCCTTCGGCTCAGGTCATGATCCCAGGGTCCTGGGATCGAGCCCGGCATGGAGCCCTGCAGCGGGCTCCGCATCGGGCTCCCTGCTCAGTGGCGAGTCTGTTTCTGCCTCTCTCTCCAGCTTGTACCCTCTCAAATAAATAAATAAAATCTTTAAAAAAATCACACAGGCCTGTACCCCTGAAACAAATAATACATTATATTTTTAATAAAAAAAAAAATCAGATGCTTAATTGGGCCACCCAGACATCCTGAGCTCATTTAATTTTTATAACAACTATGAGGGTGGGGGCTATGGCTCTAATTTTACAGATGAGGAAACTGAAGCACAAGGGACACAGCTCCAGTAAGAGGTACAGCTGAAACTGATTCGCCTTGACTGATGAAGCAGGCTCGCTAAATCCTACCCTCGGATCCGGCAGCATTTGTCTTCAATGAACAGGTTGGGTGCTTCCTGGACAGAGATCTGGGATTCATGGACCTTACAGAGTAGGTTGCATGACTACTTGCTAATGAATGTTTGACGAATTTGGCCTGAGGCTTTCACTTTAACATAGCATCTGGAATAATTGTGGAGGAGTCCCAAAGCTCCACCTATCTCTTAACTATTGGAGGCTACTTATGTCTGCCCAAAAGAAGCTAGTAAGTGGGAATGACCAAATTGACAGGTTAATTTATAATTTTCTTCTTCCTAAGTTATCTCCAACTAGAAGGACTGTAGTCCCAGAATCTAATAATGTGAGGATTTATGGTACACTTCCATGTGGTCACCCCTGGAGTGACTGTCTCTCACATGAAGCCCTCCCTGAAGAATGTCAGCATTTGGAACATGGCAAGGCCTGTGGGCTAAGATTTCAAACAAGCAGCAGTTAGAAATTTAAAGTTGTCTCCAAACACTGTAGGTCTCCTGGGCATTTCCAGTTCCAGTGATCAAAGCCACTGAAGATAAATGACTGTAGCTGTCACAGTGGCCCCTCCCACCACCCTTTTGTGTCACTGTCAAGGATATCCTGCCCTAGTGACTCTCTCCTCTGCATTTATCTCGGATGGCCCCATTGGGTGCTCCCCTAACTCAGGTAGCTCCAGGTTCCAAAAACACTTGAGATTGTTGTCCTGGCTGGTTGTTTCTTTCCTTTTTTTTTTTTTTTTTTTTAAAGATTTTATTTATTTATTTGACAGAGAGAGACACAGTGAGAGAGGGAACACAAGCAGGGGGAGTGGGAGAGGGAGAAGCAGGCTTCCCACCAAGCAGGGAGCCTGATGTGGGGCTTGATCCCAGGACCCTGGGATCATGACCCGAGCCGAAGGCAAACACTCAATGACTGAGCCACCCAGGCTCCCCATGGCTGGTTGTTTCACATCACATAGCTAGTTGTGGCTAGTGCAATTGAGGAATTGAATTTTAAAGTTTATTTATTTTAATTAATTTAAGCTTAAATAGTCACTTGTAACTCGTGGCTACCATATTAGTCAGAACGGACCTAGAATTTGATGATGACCTTATAACAGAATAGTCTGTTATGCTGCAGCCACAAAGAACCCTAAAGTCTTGGTGATTTATAAGAACCAAGGTTTATTTCCTGTGTTATGTACCCATTGGGGGTTGGCTGGGGTCCTAGGCAAATAAAGCAGTTACCATCTTACATGTTGCCAATCAGAGTGGAGAGTCTTGCATTAGTACTTAAGCGCTCTGGCCCAGAGGGGACACCCATCACTTCTACTCACAGCTCACTGACCAGGACTAGTCACAGCCCCATCGAGCCAAGGGCCCACAATGCTCTGCCAGGGGGTGAAGAGCCTCAGTAAGGACTGGCACAGACGTTAGCCTCCCTTTCAAAATACAGAGAGGGAGTTCCTAAAGGGTAAAGAAAGTAGTATTACTTGTATCTTCTGGAAAATTAAAGAAACTCAATTCTCCTTCATCTCCTTGATACTTATTAGCATCAATTTATTAAAAGCCAGTAAGATGTGAAAAGTAAAACTCAAACACTTTGATTAAAAGAAAAAGAGACTATATAAAGTTAGAGCTGACAATAGCCATTATGTCTTTAATTATACATAGAAATATCATTTAATATGAAGTTCTGCAATGTAAACGACAACCAATGAATTTTTATGTGTTTGGGATGAAAATAGAATGGGAGAAAAATGTATTTTTTTTCCTGGTGCAGAATATATTTAGTCAATTTTTCCCTAGCAAGGAATAAAAAGTCCTTTTCTTTAAAAATAGTAATTTCCTCACTAGGAACATTTGTGGATTGTGGTTGCCTTGAAAAAATGAAAAAAATTAAATATTTATTAACTGGACAATGGATTATTTCCCTCTAGACTACATTGTGGAATCATAGAATCATCTAATCCAACATTTATTAGCATGCCTTGATTCTTTCTAGAATATCTATAATACTGTTTGAACACTCAAGACATAAGGGGCTCATCATCTGGTAACAGATTTCAATAGAGCAGGAGCGTTATCAGGAATTTCCTCCTAACAAATGTTTAAATATCAAGACACGGAAAGAAAGCACTTGGTTGCCAATAACAAACTGCACCAAAATTACAAATGCAAACCAAGCCCTAGTTAATAATACTGATGATGACGATGATTTTGTCACATGCCAAAATGTCGTATAGATCTTAGCATTATGAGGATTCGATAGATATCAAATGTCCAAGGAATTTATCTGTAGAATATAACTGAACCAAACTGATGCTCAAGAGAGATTTTGCACAAAATGTGCGAATTAGGCTACCTCATGTGAACCAGAGTCGTTCTGTTCCTTAGTGAAACACAACCATCTAAGTCATTCATGCAGCACAGCATTTGTTTGTCATTTCCAGGATCGCTTTGGGTGGTCTCCAGCTGGTGGCATGGCAAGAAAGAGAAGGCTGCAGAGATTGAACAAACAGCATGCACTGTGGTATCCTTTATTTAAAAACTGTGAGCTAACTACAGTCGTAGTGTTCTCATTTACCACTCTGATGGCATAATAAACTGGGAGAACAATAACACAATTTCAAGACATTAAAAACCTGTAGCAAACACACACACCACACACGGGCACACACACGACAACACACAGGTACACACAGATTATAGTCTAAACACAACTAAGTGAAGAAAAGCTTCAAATGCTCTAAATCAAATTTTAAAAACCTTTATTATAAACTGTGGCAATACTGTGGCTATTATGAAAAAAATTGTTTAACTGCTTGAAAAGCAAAAAGAAAAATACTGGCAAATTTGAAACCAGCAGCAAAAAGCAGATAAAAATAGAATGAAAGGTAACATAAGACTAATATCAAAGTTCTAAAGTTGATACTGTGTAGGGCTGCACTGAAGTCATTTCAGATTGGTTCTTGAGGAACTATCAAAAAGTCCCTTGAAATATGAAATTGCTGCACTTTACAAACAGTGGAAAAGAAAAAGTATTTGGAATGTTACACACACGCAGGGAAATGTACTAGGTATATCGGTTTATAGTCTTTGTTTATGACCTTCAAAAAGTTTATAAAGAAAAATTTAAGTGCCAATATAGTGAAAGAAAAAGTCCTAAAGATGCAAGTCTGAGTGCATTTATCAGGTCTACTGATATATTTGAAGGCTGGGGGCAAGGCCTGACGCACATTCAAGAAGAAAACATGTGGAACCCAGAAGGTAGGTAGAGTTCCTTGGCGAGTGTTTAGAATGGCAGGTGTGTTAAAGTCAGACTGCCCCGAAGGAGATTCCAAAGTACGTGCAGTTCTACAGCCCTTCATCAGCTGAAATCTGTTTCATAGTGGCCGATAAATAATTAAGACTAACTTTTCAGCAAACTGGTTTTTCATACATTCAAACGCAAAAATCTTTACCACACATGCAGAGCTGATATTCTGTAACAGCACAAATACGAATCCTGGTTTCAGAAGAAAAGCACATTAGCAAGGATTTTTTTTTTCATGGGTTCTTACAAAAATGTCTGAAGCTGCTAGACATCTGCAAAGAGGGGATAAGTTTAGATTTCCTACTGATTTTGGAAGAAAAGAGATTCTATTTTCCTAAGGAAGCCAGCCATCCACGAGCAGGGAACCGGTCTGCAGAATCTAAGAAGCATCATATCCTTAGTGCTTAAACTCATGGCAAGTTCAGAGCCAGCCAAACTGGCAGGTGGAACAGGGGGGAGAAATGAAAAGTTTGCATGTCTGTAGTATACTTTGGAATCAAATGGGCCTCGTAAGTTAAAATGGCTCAACTGCTTTCAGAATGAAGTGCTGCAGGACTAGAGGAGACGGCATTCTCTGGAGTTAGGAGCTGGGAGAGACACATCTCCATCTCCAGGGACCTTCTGGGCTGAGCTGTGAGCACAGGGCCTTATTTTTCATGAGTGCTTTCAGTTAGGGAATTTATGACTTTGCCCAGATAAAGATTTCTTTTGGTTACTTTCTAACCTCAACAGATCAGGCAAGTTACTGGTAATTTCCCAAAATGAAATCTGGCCATGTTAGTATCTTAAGGTGCCAGCTAGTTCACATTAATGCCCATCAGTAGCTGCTGCTGGGTACCAACTGCTGTTGCTGAACAATCAACCCTCAAATGACCTAACTAGATAATCTATCACACTAGGTGCTTTTACTATCTTGGATTTTTTTGAGCTTTAGAGAAATAGTCTTTGTAATATGCCATAGAAGCTTCTTCTCTCTGGCTTTGTTTCACTCTTCCTCTTCTTCTTCCCCTTCCCCTTCCCCTTCCTCCATGGTCTCCACAATGAGCTCCGCTGTGCAGGTGGCTTCCCCGAGACTGTTGACAGCCTTGCAGGTGTACTTGGCATCGTCATCCCCGCAAACATCGCTAATGATTAAAGAGCAGTTCCCGTCCTCGTCGTAGTCTATCTGGAAGTGGCGGGACTCCCGGATTGACTGGTCATCTTTGAACCAGACAACTTCAGGGTCTGGGTATCCTGCAGCACAGGGAGAGGACACAAGTTGCAGAAACCATTATTCAAAGTTTCTTATCAATTCATGCAAGCAGCTCCTAAGCAACCTCTATTGATTAAGGGGGTACAGGAAAAAGTCACGATGTTGGCTTTTAACATCCCTTTTGAGATTTACATTCGGATATGGGCATATATTGTAAAGAGCAGTACCTGAAATCCCACAAAAGGTACTTTACAGGCATGCCATTTGCCATCCACGTGGGGCTTGTACTACGTCCCACCTGCAACACAGCCCTGACTCCAGCCACACGCCTAGAGCTAAAGATCTCCTTGGGTAAAAAGAAAATTCTTATCTTATATAGAAGTTGAACTTAAATAAATTTAAATAAAAAATAAGAGAACAAATGGGCACAAGAGATCTTTAGGGGGTGATGGAAATGTTCTAAAATTGGATTGTGGTGATTGTACAATAAGATGGGTAAATTTTATGTTATGTAAATTATAACTCAAAGCTGATAATAAGCTCCATAATACATAAGTTAGAGGATCTGATAATATTGCTAAGAAAAAGAAGCAATATTTATCTTAGTCTGATCCAAAGACAGAAGATAACTGGAAATTGACCACATTGGTTAGCCTCATTTTATGTTATTAGTCATGTTTCTGGAAAATTCAGCATTTAAAAAATATATTTTATATACATATATACATCATATGTATTATATATGAGATGTATATATATATATACATAAGCCTTTACAAATATATAATAATTCTAACTGACTTTTTCTTTACGTTTTGGAGAAATATTTTTACAGGAAAAAAAATTACAGCCCCATCCAGAATAAAAATTACACATAAGAACTTAAGAATTTTAACATTCTTTTCAAGTAGATTTTGTTTGTATCAAAATGGCAGCCATATGCTTTAATTCCTCCTTAGTGCTCTAGTCAAAGTTCTGCAAATAATGAAGGAAATAATCCCAAAGAGAAAAGTACAAAAATGATAATCACGACGTTGTAATAATTTTTAAAAAGGAAAAAAATTCAGAAGACCCAGAGACAGTGGTGATGGTGAGAATTCTGAACATTGGCCCCAGAGCTTTCAACAGTGTCCCCAAGCTGCGGACTTCCACACTAGCAAAGGGAACACATCTACCTTTTTTTTTGTTAATTGAATAGAAAAAAAGGAAGATGATTATAGGCACTGTATTTACAAGGCAATCTGAGATATAATGACGCAGGAGAAAAACTTTTCTCATTCCTCTCTTTGGGTTACTTTACCCAAAAGGCATTATCTAGTCCTACTGCTGGAGAATCTTAGAACGTGGGAGGCATGATTTGTTCTGATGGCTGTCCTATGCTATGCAGCCTTGGGAAGGTTGCCTAATGAACTCCTGTGCTTTATTTGGTCAGACTGAAATGAGATAACCCTCCACTTTGGTTGGCATGCAATAGTCACAGACTTGAGACAAAGAACCTGTCTTTTCTTGCCCTTATCTTTCTGGAATGTTGCTGTGTGGAAATGGCAATGCTTTGTGTCACCAATATTGCTCACTTCTCAGGTGCTATGCTAAGATCCCTTAAGTTCCCTTGAGCACTGACAGCTCACAACTCTATGGCCACATTATTCTCGGCAGGCAGAGAAGCATGGGGAAGGTGGCGTAGGCACCTCGAGCCCAGCTTCCCTCCATCTGGAGTCACGTGGCATGCTCACTCTCTGCACTTACCAATCCCACAACTTTTCCCTTGGTGCTGTGACATTTTGAACAGACTTAAGAGGTTCTCCCTTTTCCCATACGGCCTCTCACAGCATTCCCCAGAGCTACACAAGCATTAGACATCATCTTAAGGTTAAAGGCCTGAGGCTCAGAAGACTTAGATCACCACCCAAGGTCACACAGCCCGCAGATGAGCAGCAGAGCCACCCGACTCCCCATCCTATACTCTTCATGGCCACCTTCCTTTGAAGCCTCTTGTGGGCAGTTCACATGCTTCCCAGAAGCTTGCAAAGCTCATTTCATTAAGCATGTTCCATAGCCAAACAGGTCCATGATAAACCGCTTTTAACTTGAGTCTAGTGGCTGATGTAAGGATGTGAAATAGCCAGGGTGTCCTAGGCGAGTCACTGAATGGCACCAACCTTCAGGAGGCGGAGTGGGAGCAGCTGGCCAACTCCTCCTGGCCCCATTGTCCTCGCAGCCTGGCTGCCCAGAATGAACATTTTGCCCGGGGCACACAGCAGGGCCCACCAGTCCACCACACCCCTTTTGTAGTCAAGGGAAGAAGAGCTACAGCTTACCTTCAATCTTGCAGTCAAATCTAGCAGCGCTTCCCTCCACAACTTCTAAATCACGGATGGTCTTAGAGAAATAGGGTTTTACATGGGGCTTTTCCTCTGCAACAGCCTCAAGGAAAGCTTGAGACACATCTTCTAGGAGACAGGGAAGGAAATGCGGTCAGTTCTTCATTCCCTGTTCTCTCCTCTTCCCTCGTTTAAAAAAGCTGACTTTTTTGTTTAAGTTGCTACAATTCAGCAAATAATGCAGCTTAGAGGACTGAATCAAGCACACCTTTCTCCTGGGGACAGGTTGGCCTGCTGCCAAAAGGTTTTGGCAGCAGAGAGAACCGTGACCAAACTGCAGAAATGTTTTAACTCCCCCCCCCCTTCCCTTATGCTGACACATTGAAAAAGGAAATAATCTTTAAAAAGGATTTCTGGCTGCATTCCATGCTGTTTCAGGATTCAGTGGAGGGTATCTAACAAGGACAAACCACACCAGCCTTCCCGATCTCTGTCCCCCCTTTGCCCTCCTCCTGCAGTAGCAGGCCCTTTACCTGCTCCTCGGGAGGGAGGAGCTGGGTCCTAGATGCATCTTCAATCTGCCTGGAGTTCTTTTCTCCTCAATCTGCCTGGAGTTCTGTTCTCCACACTTACACTGCCTTCTCATTGTATGACGTGGACCAGGGATTTAGGGAAAAGCTGTACTGGAGGGGCTCCTGTATCTTCTCCCTTCCTTTCAGGCTATTTCTGGGTCATCTGGGGAGTATGGATCAGGAGAGACCGGGCCCGCATGCTGCAGACTATGCCCCCGACTCCATCAGAACAGCCCAGCAAGCAGCCTTGCCAATTACCCTGCCTTTATACACAGGAGGGATCTAGACTTAGCTTCTCACCTTTGGATACCAAAAACACCAGGCAGCAGGAGGTAGGGGGGTGTCTTTGGCAAAATGAGGTGCCTCAAGAAGATAAGAGCCAGTCCCTACGTGTATCTGGAGCAGGAAGAGGCCGAGGCCTTCAGTGAAGAGATGGTCAAGGCAGCCTCTTGAAGACGGTGTGCAAATAACTAACCCTATTGGTCTCCAGGAGGAGCCCTGTCATGCACAGTCTACCCCGTTCAAACAACATGTTTCAGCATCATGAAAAATGCCAAATGAATATGGACTATAGTTTGTTTTTTTTAAAGAAAAACACAAAGACGTAAGAACATGGAAGGATATTTTTTTAAAAGATACTACTATATGTGTTTATTTATGTTTACCTATCAATATACAAATATCACTTTTGTAATGAGAAAAAAGGAAGCTTTTAATGAAGTCTTCGCTAATTCTTATGTAAAATACAGGGAAAAGAACAGCGGAGGTCATCTGGTTCTATTAGACAAATAACTTTCCCTCTGAAAATAGTTAAACTTAAGGTTGCACAATTAAAGAATAACTAGTAATTGTTGTTAGGGCAACCTAAAATTAGTTCTGAATTTAATCCTTGTAGTTTATATTATATAAAAACAAACAAACAAACCGAAAACCCCCCCAAAACCTCAAAATGTCCCTCCATCCCCCAACCCTTCCTTTCTCACCAATTGGCTGGATAAAAATCTTCCTGGAGCTCCTTACCTTCGGATTCTAATTTTTCTGCATTAAGCGGGCTGGTTGGTGACCCTGTTGAGGATTTCCTGCCACTGAGCCCTGAGATCATTGCCATAGAGGACAGTCTTCCAATGGCTCTCACAGCATTGCCTGTTTTCTGGAAAATAGACACTGGGGTTGGACTCAGGCGGCGTCCCTGGCTCCAGCTGGGCAGTGGGGTTCGGGAAGAAGAGCCTAGCCCAGGAGAAGTAGCTGTCCCTGAAACGAGGGCCTCCCAAGTGCCGAGGTTCTGCCAGAGGAATGAGCTCAACCTTGCTCTGCTCAGCACTATCAGCGTGTCAGAAGATGTTCGGAGAATGGAATGGGGCCTGGAACCAGTGTGTGCGTTAATGTGACTAAACAAGGTCAACATGAGACAAAAACCCTTTTCATACTCTGCTTCAACTCCCATAAAAGGGATAGTTTATATAAAGCAACTGCAGGCTGAGACAGCTCCAAAGACTTACTGCTGACGGGGCCCAGTGGGGGCTGTTTCTCGTAAAACAATACTAGTGATAGGAATTTAATTGGTCCAGAGAAAGTTACTACAGATCCGACAGGTCACGATGCGAAGAAAAAAAAGAAAAAGCATTCTATTGACCTTGGGCAAGTCGCTTAACCTCTCCGGGCTTCAGTTTCCTTCTCTGTTTAAGGAGGGGTTTGGACAAAATGATCTCCAAGGTCTCATTACTTCTGTTTATGATTCAGATACTTAAGAGATTTTGAGAAACACTCAGCCTGGCCTGTGAGTCT